GATACCGTACACTATCCATACATACCTTAATACAGTACGCAATTAACCAAATCGTACGGTGCACGATTTCAAAAGTTCAAAAACCCACTTCCACTCATCCCAAGAATCATCGCGAACGAAAATGTTCACCACAATGGGTGGCAGCAGAGCTGCCAGGCAGTTGAGAACGAAATATAAAGTCATGACCGATAGATTGTGTTGCCTGAACATATTACCTTTAAAATGAAAATGCCCTCGGAAGTCGCAGTTAGTCATGCACGTGATTTGGGGATTCCCCATTGACAAGAATCCGTTAGGTAGAGGCGACTTGGAGCGTAATTGGGACGAAAAGCAGCCCAGGTAGTAGAGTGGGCGTGTTTGGCGCAATAGCAGAGGCGGTATCATTTGAAATGGAGCACGTTTGTAGATGCAGTAGGTGATGCAGGCTAATAGCTAACAAACATGGTTCTGCAGCGACTGAAAACTCGTCCAAGTATCCATCCCTTCTTCATAACCACCAAACCTTAGGGATGAACTACTTCTCGTTCCCCCGTCGATGAATTACTCTACATCTACACTTCCATTTTTTACCTTGACGGTGCTCAGAATCACCGAACACTAAGCTTCATCATAATAGGTCATCTATAATGAGATTCTTAGGTACTTTTCTATAAGCAATTGTAGGCTCCACTCACGCAGCAACGATAGCCGTACTGCGGAATAAGGTGCCACTGTTGAAGCCGATCATAGCAGTGCAAATGATAAGTATAACCCAAGCAATTGTTGGCGTTGACCTAAAAATCGATATCTATTATATCTCTGACTGACAGAGGTGAATCACTTGTAATCCGCAAAGAATTAGGGGGAACACACTGTACACACCCGAATTGGGAAAGACTTAATGGTCAAGAGAAGAAAGGCTCTAATCCTCCTTGAGCTCTGATTTTTGAGCGTGACCATTATGAAAATCGAAGGCCGCGCGGCGAGACGACTAGCCAAAATTCGCCGCACCCCGTAAGAGCGTGATTACTCCCATTTTCGTTGCGGATTAGTTTGAGTGGGGTTAGAAGGATTAATTTTTTGGGATGAAATTGATAACTGACGTTGGTACAAAGGCAAGCATGAAGAATGTTATTCCCATGCCACCAATAGCTACGAGGTTGAAAATCTTTGCAGGAA